TAAGATAACACTTATATGAAGAAAATAAGCAGAAAGACCTGTCTTAAATGCCCCATGTAGAACCCCATGCCGAACACGTTTGTTCGTGCATAAGGTGGAAAAAGGGAGTGGTCTCGTGGAGTTTTCACTTGTTGGTATCAATTCTCTCTCACCTCGCTCTCACCATTTGAAATGGAGGGAGTTAACCGAGTAGCGGAACAACCACACCGCCAGGAAGATTTGAGAAATGAAAATTGGGCGTCGTCGTGGTCAGTGGGCGGAGCAGTGGTTCCGCCCGGAGCAGTAGTTCATCCGTCATGCTTGCGGGCGTGACCACCATGCTCAAAAAAGACGCGTGAACACAAAATGAATGCGAGGCGTGTTTTAGACCAGTTTTTTCTTCAAAGGATCTTCAATTTTTTTCAATCATGTTTTATGGTTCCTTAGAAACTTATTTTTATAGGTATTATCACGAAATCATGCGGTGCTGTCGTATCGAAATGGTGGTTTTTTCCTCCGAGATACGAAAAGCAGCAATGGCACATTTGTAAATAATGAAAGATTAGCGGTGACAGGTGAAGAGTCGGAAGCAAGGCAGATCTACACGGGTGACATCATCCAATTCGGCGTGGAAATCGTTGAGAATACCAATAAAGGTACATTCCTGAATGTTTCTATGTTAGCAACTCTGGCACAGTTCGGCGACGAAGGGGGGGGGGCTTTTGCACTTTCGCCGCTTATCGTTGTTGTGTTCATCGCTTTACAAGAATTAAGTTTTAGTCTCTGCAAACTTTGACTGGTATCACTTCATGGCTGAACAAGACTTCACAAAAAAGTACTTGATGACTTGACACTACTGTGAGAAGCAGGGAAGATGCAAAATGCCCTTCCCCCCCTCCCTACCCGAGCTGAACTGCGTCAGCATCTCTCTATATCTGACCCGAAATTTTCGTGATTTGCATTGCTTCAACTTTTTCGCCGACTAGTTTGGAGTCGCTGATACTGTCTGCTTCTTGTGTGGAACATCGGGTGCTATTTCAGCTAGGGGGGGGGCATTTTTAGGGGTCCCAAGCTGTATGAAACCCCGACAAACACTCATTTTTATCGAAAGGAAAAGTAGGGGGAGGGCGGTGCGGGGAAACGGTTGTGAAAGGGAACGAAGACTTTCACTTGTGCCTGGAACAAGGTGCCCGGGTAGATGAGCTAGTTCTGCCTCACCCGCTGGAATTAGGGCATGTCGTACACGGGGAATTCCTAGCAAGGGGGGGTCGTATTCGGTCGCTAGAGTGTGGGGAGGTCGTATTGGCCTTTGAGAAAAAAGGCTTCAGTTGTTGACTACTCTCGGTTCGTTTGCTGACTTCTCTCGGCCGTTCCTGTTGCACTTGCGTATGCTAAACCCTACCACCCCCTCCCGTTCCGCTCGACTGCAGTTTCTCTAGGAAAAGCTGGAGAACTTTTCGAAAAAAAGGTAGAAAAGAAGGGGTAGGAATTAGGGAAGGCGGAAAACCAAGGCGGATGGTAGTTAAGATGGGGGACGAAGGGGGACGGAGTCGTACCAGAGGAGAAAATTAAGGGAGGGGGGTCGTATTTTGCGAAAAAATCCCGAGGACAGGATGCGCTTTGACTGGAATAGCGGCGGACGTCGCTCACAGTCCCTGTTTTCTTTTGGAAGTTGAGGAGAATTTGTGACTTTTTTCAAAGGACGATAATTTTTTAGTAGCGCACGGATGCATATATGCAATGGTTCAACTGTTTGATGCCTCTGGGCAGATGATCGAAACAGGAGGAACCTTGAGCGGCGGTGAATTGAATGGGTAAGTAGTTAGCGTGCACTTTTAACTCCAGAATTGTTTCGTTTTTAACTTGGCTCTTTATGGTAACTACGTGTTGTTTTTCGCCGCAGTCCGTCATCCGTAAGGGTGTGTTCATACTTTGCGAGCGTTTCGAGCGTACGCCAGCGTCTTCAGCGAATGTCCGGCGAGAAGTTGAAACTACTCGCGAAACGGTCAAAAGTCTAGATCGATGCCTGCTTTCCTAGTCGCTCAAAACCCTGACTTAGGCAGCGTTCGGACTTCGCGACTGCAGCGCTTCGGTCGCGCGATTCGACGATCGATGCGCATGCTTTCGACTGCATCGATCGCGTCGAACGCGCGACCGAAGCGCTGCCATCGCGAAGTCTGAACGCTGCCTTACGCTCGAAACGCTCAGAACGTCGATGCAAAATATGAATGCAGCCTTAGCACACAAGCCTGAAAATCATTTTCCAGGTTAGAGTCCCGGCTGAGACCAAGTATTTTTGCTCATAGTTCATCATTCATGTGATATTTTACCACTTCAGATGTATTTATTTCTTCAGTACGTTGCCGAATTGCGAACCTTCCCTAGTCAACAATCACCAGTTGTTCCAAATGCAGCAGTATTTGTCAGAAGCGCTCTACAGGTAAGTTAAATGTTGTTCAAGTTTTGCACGAAACAATCGGTCTCCGTCCCTGAGCCTAGTTTCTAACGATTGTGGACGACTCATAGTCTTCGTTTCCAGAGAAGAAGCTCGCGCGACAAAAACTTGGAAGCCTTTAGGAGAGAATGCGTAGGAAGGACTACCGAGGCTATGCTTCGGAAGCGGCTTGGAAAGCCCTTGTCAACGAGGATAGGCTTTTGTCAAGGTACGCCCTCTTTTAAGTTCACTGATACTCTCCACAATCCCTCTTTTCCAAATTTTATCGGGATTCCCATGGAAGAACATTTGGGAGGCTCTTCCTCGGGGCTAGTTTGCGCCTTCAAAACACGGATATTGACTTCGTTTTTTCCTCTGTGCTCAAACCTCTGGCCCAGCCAGTGATCTAGGCAATATGTCTCTTCTTGCGATGTTGCCAGAGGGGGAGACCAGACCGCTCTCCTTAGAGGCATTGCGGCGCTCGCCCTTTTTTTTTGGTTCACACTGCTTTGTCTCTTGTATTGGTCGCCACTCGCAACTTATGCAAGCATGGAGGATGTACTATAATCGTGGCTTCAATTAAGTGTAGGAAATAATGTAACGTCGATTCGTTGATATTGATGCTCCTCATGCGTCCATCGCTCCATCTGGCTTATTAACGCCCAGCTTTCATTCCTATACGAAGGTTTTCTGGTGGTGCGGTTGTCTCGCTACTGGTTGTTTCCATTTCAGACGGTCACAGTGTGGTCATAGGAGAAAGACTTCGTTCCAACGTGATAATTCGTCCGGCCACGCCCGTTCTTCGTCCTAGGCATGCATAGGCGCGGTTCAGCATGGGGTTCTCTGTGGAGCATTTCCGGCGGATTTTCTTCTGCTTTTTCTTCTCTACTAAGTCTGCCTTGCAATAAGTATTCGAGCTGCACAACTCACCATTTTTGCTCCCGGGGATGCCTTTATATACGCTTTATGATTCTCGAAACTGCCGAACTCGATGAAGACTTAGTCCACTGGGACCAGAGGGGTGTGTCCACGCGTTCAGGCGGACTTGTTATGTTTACAGAACAACACTACTTCCCAGGACAAGTTTTTGCCCATCCTACATTGTGGCCTAAATTATGAAAAGATGGGGTCGCAAGGGTCATACAGTCTCTTAGGAAATTTCTTGTGATACTAATACCTGCTGCGCGCTCTGTTCAAATGTGGCGGGGCAGGTTTCTATCGAGATATTTTCTTATTGAAACAACCAAAATCATGTATTTGTTGAATTAAAGACAAAATCAGAAAATAGCCTAAATGCCCCGAATCTGTATGTCCCACGGTAGACGCCATGTCTAAATGAAGTATGCCGCTACACGCACTCTATTTTCTGTATATGGAGTGCAAAAACCGCATTTTAATATCATTTTTTACAGAATTGAAACGCTTGAGGCTCAGCTTGCTACTTTCTCGAAAAACGCTACTCCAGACAAGCTTAGGGAGGATATTCTGGCTCTGATTGACGATAAAGCAAAATTTGAGGTTGCGTCAAAGGAGCATCTGAGGTAATTGTGATTAGAGACTTCTCTTGTTTATCAAACTGATGTGGGCGCAGTTTGCCGACGGAGGGCATTTTGCACTTTCGTTGCTTCACTAGTTCGGTTTACAAGTCTCACTCTGGTGAAACCTGTGAACTCTTGTGAAGCTGGAGCAAGCTCGTCAAGCCATCATGGTAAAACCTGTCAACTCGAGAAGAGGCTGTCTAGATGGGTCGACACGTCGATGGGAAGGGTTAAAGTGCAAAATGCCCCCCCCCCCTCGTCGCCAAACAGCGCCCTGATGTGCCATAATTTATGTGGCTTTATTCGTGAAAAAATTTTTTAAGAAGAGCGCAAGAAGAGCGTGCCGAGTCAGCGCTGAGGTTAGCCGACATTGATCGAAGCTTAGTATCCACTGAAGAAGAATGCAATCGATTACGTTCGCGGGTATGTTTTTCCGAGTTTTTTGTCGTCGTCAATTTGATGGGCTATTAGTTATTTTTTTTCATTAGCAGTGTTGGTGATACAGAGGAGATTTATTTAAGATACAAACGTTGGAAGCAAAACTAAGTGAGA